CAAGCGTCTGAAGTTCTGAGGATGGTAAGGGAACTTTACTGTGCTGATTTTGCCGCAGTCAGCTTTCGCAAAAATGGCACTGCTTGATGATGACTTTGAAGCAAGATATATCAGAGCACAGTAAAAAGAAACAGTCAGGGACAGGGAAAAAGTGTTAGCGCTTGGGACAAGGAAACACAGTCAGCACCAAGGACAGGGAAACACAGTCAGCACCAGGGGCAGGGAAACACAGTCAGCACCAGGGACAGGGAAACACAGTCAGCACCAGGGACAGGGAAACACAGTCAGCACCAGGAGCAGGGAAACGCAGTCAGCACCAGGGACAGGGAAACACAGTCAGCACCAGGGACAGGGAAACACAGTCAGCAACAGGGACAGGAAAGCACAGTCAGTCACGTTTCATGTTGACAACTTAGAAAAATGAGTCAGGTTCTTTCGAGACTGCGGTGCATTATGAAACCAATAGTTTATGGACATGTATTACTGACTGCAGGGCGCAGAAAAAGTACTTGATGCTGGTGGATGTGAGAAATGCGTGACTTCCTGGCAGACCAAGTGACTTTTACCTTGTATGCTCGGCTAGGACGCCATGGGGTAATTTGGAAGACATTTGGATGTCGTGGGACATGGCTGTCGTGATCATTTTGTAATACACTTTACAGAATACACTTAACGTCTGGCACTTTAGCGCCTTGCTGCGTGCGTAAATACTTGTATGCGTCATGTTTTTCTTGCTAATGCAGTAAACCAATCTATAACTGCTGTAACGGATCGCTAATTTCAGCCTATATTCGCATGCTTCTCACTAGGTGGGGCGATTTGACGTCAGTGACCACTTAAATTCCTGGGCTTCCCATGCGTGTATAACTGTGCAGGCGATTAGACTGACAGAGTCTATACATTCTCCCATTCATTCGGCAATATGATATCAATTAGATTATGCATATATGCCATATATTCAGCTAGAAGCGTCACGAAAAGTGATCGTTAAGTGGAAACATCTTTCTTGAAGTTCGCACGAAGGGCAAATTGTGTTGGGGAAATTTTTACGTTAGGTCGACTTCAGTGCGTATGTCATACGTGGTAAAATCCCATACACCTACGCACGGCCTTATTATGCTCGCTGCAGTCTGTCTTTCCTTTTGTGATTGTTATCAGCGCCATGTATCTTCCTTATCCGCCTTCCTTTATAATCCTGCATCATACACGCAACTTTTATCGCTTTCTAACGTTACCAAGAAACACAGCGAGTGTTTTATTTCTCTGGTAATAACCTGGAACATACTCTTTGATTTGCATAGCTTCGTGGTCATTTTGAAGCTAGGAGTGAAGATTAAAATGAACAACACGAACTGCGTGTGTCCTGAATCTTAGCCAGCTTTCCTCTCGCAACGTTTCCTTCAAATGCCTGCCGACTTGTTTAAGAGCTTTTTTTACAATCATGTTGGCTAAGGCTTGTGGATAGATACCATATGTACGCGTAATGAGAGTTAACCAGGGGTTGATCTAACTCTTCGCATGTGTAGAAAGAATAAATAAGAATAGAAAACAGGTAGTTTATACAGGATAGCTAATATGGTTACACACATGTAGAATAGTATTCACCGTGACATACAGACGCCCGCCAATGCTGTTAATTCCGTTACGGCCTCACCATTCGCCACGGATGATAAAGTACAGAAATCCTCCTACTCCGCTCCCATTGGACGAGAAGCACGTGGCTGAGTCTGGAGTCAGCCGCCGATGTTGTTTCTTCCGCTGGCCTGCTCAGGAATCCTGCAGTTTCCCGTACCAACTGTCATGCTGCTGGGACCGGCCTAGCAACACTTCCCGGGGCACATGGGCGAAGTATTGGGGAAGTTTCGGGGGCAGGGCAGAGATGGTCAGAAAAAAACGGTCCATCAGTCAGATGTTCACGCAGCTCGAGGAAATCACCTACTTCAACAGGAGCGAGATTAAGAAGTGGTACAAGCTGTTCTTGAAGGACTGTCCGGACGGACACCTGAAGGAGGAGCGCTTCGTGGCGTTTTACACCGGGTCCTTCCAGTCAGGAGATCTGGAGAGGAAGGAGTGTTTGGCCAAGCAGATCTTTCGAACGTTCGACCGGGACGGCAGTGGGACCGTGGACTTCAAGGAGTTTATGTGCGGCATGAGCGCGCTGCTGCGGGGCACGACTCCGGAGCGCCTGAAGTGGGCGTTCAACATGTATGACCTCGACGGGAACGGAGAAATCAGCATGCAGGAGCTATTACATGTACTAAAGGTACGGCTGTACATCCCATGTCTAAACGCCAGTTTATTTAGGGGAGGGAGAACTGTACACGCTTCAACAGAGTTAGAGCCTCAGACACCTGCAATTCATATATGATTTCAATAATCTACAGCTCACAGGTTGGTCCCCTGCCGGCAAAGTCATTCGTCATGCCCGTGTCTGTACACAAACTGCGAGGTGTTGATAGTGGGGTGAATTGGAGAGAGTCTATACATCTTCCGAGTAGCACACGCACCATACACGAAGCGATGATGTTTTGTCTTCCTGCTTGAGATTGCATGTCTAGTCTAAAAATGCCAGAAATATGTGTTTCCGCTAGGTCGGTAAGTACCGCTTTAGACGCTCTGCTCCGATTTTGACTTTCTCCTTGCACGATGTCATTTATTCTACGACAGCATAAAGACACACCGGCGAGTATAGTTAACGTTACAGTTCCCTTGTCCATTGATTGTGCATTAAGGTTCAAAAGTAATACGCAGCGTAGTTGACGTGGAGTTCAGATAACTCGCACTACGACCACTTGATGGTCCACTGCGAACCGACTCGTGCATCTCGGGACCAAAGTTACCATTTTGAGACTCATCAACGCCTCTTTTCATCACCCGAAATGGCTGAAAAGATCACAGCTGCCATTACTCCAGTCCTTATCACTGTTGCATGTGCAATCAAACGGTCTTTCGTTTTCTGTCTAGTCGGTGTCACGATTTAGCGACGTCACGTTCTCCTTGTATTTCAATTATTTGTAAGTCTGCAATGATCAACTTTGTTTATACAAACATATTTCTGCTAGCCTAATGGTAATAAAAGCAAAGGTTAAGCGGACTGAATCCATCTATTTCAAACAGTCGTGTGACCCGAGTCGTGTCGACAGGCACTGCCCTGTATTCCCCTGCCACGATTAACGTTAAAGAAACCATTTACGCGAAACCCACCACATGGGCGCTTCCTTTCTACCCGGGGATCTTGTTACAGGCTGATTAGACGAGAAGATGCACGACACACGCTTATGGGTCAGCGAATGAATTGATGGACGGATGGATTAAAGAACCTGACAAAATACATCCCCTGTCGTTCTATATATACTGGTCGAATCAGATAACATGTAACGCCCGTCATCCATGGTTTATCTGTGGGGAGTGTTTGCTACAATATACATGGGGCGCGAATATAAAGGTTCATGTTAACCATTTATTCAATTAATCATTCAATTAATCAAAATGGATCATTGATCAAACAAGAAACTTGCAGTCAGATGCCAGCTGCATCATGTTACACGAAGCACCGCTGCATTAAAATAGCAAATTTCGAATTCTTAGTTACACATGGAGAATCATGTTAGAATATTTGCTGATGGGATAGAACGAGGTTACGCATTGAAATTAAAGGTTTAGGTTGATTCTATGAAATATTTACTCTTACTACACGAACAGATATCTTTTTTTTAATCTCTCGGGGGGGGGGTGTAGGACATACCAGAGATTAATTGTACTATTCTCGAGCGCGGACTCTGGAGGACCTGCGATGTCATACGACTAACGGCTGATGGCCCCTTTATAAGAAGGATAGGCGAATAGAACAGATCGCAATTGATATCTGGTTGGTGGGCGTCAGAAGGAAGAATCGTAAATTGAACAACGGCATCTTTCAGAGTTGGTGATAACAGATATCTCTTCTATCGAAAACGGTTCTCTTGTGGATTGCTCTAAATAAGAGCCTGGCCTACTTTGATGGCAGGTATATACAGCGTGTACCTTGTAAACTTTTCAATAGATCCAAGCTTTAATGTTTCACATTGCGAAGTGATTGGGTTGCCCTGTCCCTGGTGCTGAAGGTGTTTCCGACGTTTTTGTGGGAATCTCCATTAGCTTCAGCTGTAGCAGCGAGAATTCCTCGTGACGACTGTAGATTCTGCAAGACCGGCTGGTATTATTAACATTCTCCCTGCTTTCTAACTCTACTACACATTTGGTGTCCAAAGGTAAAGTCAGCAGAAAGAAAGTGAAAGTCATTCATACTCACCATATCTACTCCCTACCACTCTTTTTTATCTCCAGCGGATTCGATCCCGATTACAAATGTTCATGGTATCATCTTTGCTCCTGCCCCAGCTGCGCTCCTTTACTTTACTATCTGGGTCAATTTTCATATCTATCATACGGTATATGTATTGTAGTTTATGTTGCTGTATTATCATCATGTACTTGTACCTGCATTTGCTAGCATACATTTCTTCTAAGTCGTACACGAGGATAAAAAATGAATGAGGAGCCCCGTTACACCTGTCCGGCTACATTACGTACGTAACGAAGACAGCTGAGGCAGGGTTTACAGTTGGATTTAACCCTTGGATTAGAGTGGTTTAATACACAATTACATAATCCGTGACCGCGTTTCGTGTTGGACAGTAAAGTCGTGGCTCTGTGTATGTAATTTCTATCAGCAGCTAAAGGCGACCGTCAGGTGCGACCACAATTGTAGAACCGTCCGAACTGTTTTCATACAATGATATATTGAATTCAAACTGCAGACAGACAGACCGGAAACATCTACTTTGTTGTTTGGCGACGAATGACTGCAACCTTTTACCCCAGATGTCCCCATGTCGTCTCATTAGTGGGTCCTCTACTGAGACAATAACCTTCTCCGGGAGGCGGCCGGGACCCAGGGGCTGGCCCCCGTGGTGTGGGTGACTCCGGGTCGGGTTGGCCTATCCGGGAAAGTAAATTGGCTTCTCTCGTGTAATCCTCCTGCTACAAGGCAGTCGCTCACTGCCACGTCTGTCGCAATAAACGTGATCCAGGGCCAAGTTCTTCCCGGAGTAACCATCATTCATGCAGGGTTTAAATAGACTGGCTACGTGGCCCCGTGGCATTTACCCTTTTCTAAGAAAAAGTTTTGACGTTGGAATAAGTTTGTAAACAACCACGAAATACTAGTAAAGATAACTAAGTAAAGCAGGGCGTATCGTATTAATGCATTATCATCTCGTATGTAATATTACTTGGCAATGTCTTAAGTCCTATAGGAATTGATGGCCATGTCAGGTTGTAAACACAAAGCTCATTTCACCTATTCATCCTTTATCACAACTACGCGGTGAGCCATTGTTTTTAGAATAAATCAGATACTTTATCGTTCAGCAGCGAGCAATAATTGGAAAATACTCCCCGGGCCGCTGAAGCATATTGGAATTCATTATATTTGTACTTATCCAGCTACTCAGGTGGATGCCATTCAGCAGTTTCTAAGTTCAACTCGTCAGGGTGCTGTGAAAGTGTGATATGCTACCAATCGAGCTGCTGCGAAAGCTGCTGCAGCTCTATACTTGTCTTGTGTAAATCAGTAGACGGAGAAGACAAGACTATGAGTGTTCATCAGCTTGCTTTTCACCTTTCTATATGATATGCTCATGTGCCATTCCAGTACCTACATGTATGCAGTTTACAACCCTGTTCACGAGTTAATCCCTCCAGGGGAAAAGATATGAAAACACAGACAGGCCAGAGATTAATTTTGCTTTTATCGAGTGACGATGATCCTGGGGTATAATATGGGGGATTATTTCAGTATACATGGCAAATGCTTTGAAATCTGCCTCTCAATAACTTCCTTGAAAGAAACGTTCCCTACGGCAGCGCTGCTGAGCACTTAACTCCCATCAGTATTCAGTATAATACCGGGAAGGTCAACGTCAGGGCGGATTTGGGGAGCAACAAGCAATCCCGTACATTCCCCCACCGGTTTGTAATCCGATCTGCATGGTACCAAATCTGCCCATGAAAAGGTCCGGAGACAATTCATCAGGCACGCACGTTCTGAATCATTACATGCAACAGCACGGAGACGACCCCGGGATTCAGAGCAACAGCGCCGCTCTTAAAACACTACCCGGTAATGGGACTTTTATGTATTGGGAGTCATTCCGAGCATGCTGAATTGACTTCAAGTTCCTCAGATAGACGTAACGCAGGCTAATGTCGGTGCTAATCGTTCGGCATGGGCCAGTTGTGGCGTCTACTTGTCAGATTTATCACCCGGCTAGGGTGCCCGTGGCATTACCTTGGCATTCCACCGGCTTACAGGGGCATTCCATGGGCTTTTAGGGATTTCCAGCTTTGATACTTTAAAACCCCGGCAGTACGGATTAAACAGTGTATCATCCTGGTTGTGAGCTCTGCGAATGATAATAAATGTATGATTAATGACCAGTGCTGGAAGTTAACTTTGTTGGGAGAAGAAGAAAGATTTATATCACAGAGAAGCATCACAGCTTCAAAAAAAAAACCTCCACGTTCACGGCGCCGAACTTCACCAGTACTATAGTGCTCGTAGTTACAGCTCTAGTCTGCAGGATGATTACTACCTTAGGGGAGAAGTGTAATCATACCTCATCCGAGGGGGAATAGACGTGTGGGGTGTTAAAAGCTCAGATCGAGGTGAATTGGATTCTCTCGGGTTAACGGAGCTGCGTCCTCTGTGATTGGTTCTGATTTGCCCGCTTGTACATTCACTACAGTCCCCTTCCTCGGCACGTGCCGCAGAAAGCAGTTCAGTAATTTCCACCCTTCGCCATTTCCGACATTTTTTAAGGCGGCCTCATCTTGTCCTCAACCTCCGTCTGAACCATCCCCTGAAACCATGTACTCCCGCCATACATCAGTGTAGGCTGTGGTACATAAGCGCATTAGAAGAGTCCTCGGGCTACTGTAGCTGAGCTTCCTCCGGCATTCATCACGAATTCTCGTCTCGCGCTCAAGTAGGCATGCAGTCAGGACCTAGAGCAAGAGCAATCACCGAGATTTACACAGATCTGGGAACATATTGGGAAGATTTGCGTCTCGACCCATGCATCTTCTTATCACGAGCTAACACAGGGCCCAGGGAAATAGCGAGATAGGGCTTTGTGCGTGCGTATGGCACTTGAGCTACAGCGTAGCGTCAGGCATCCACAGGACAATATTGTCACCGAAAAAGCACACATCAGCCAATTCTTCTTCTCCTGTTCAACCTCCAACAAATGACAAAAATATGCTTGATCCCACCAGCTAGCGAATAACGATCTCTGTCAAAAATGACAGATGAAGAGATTTTAAAACTTTGTTGGTTTACACAGAGAACGCCCACCGCTTTCTTTAGCGAGAATTACTAGGCAGCGGCAAACGGCTCAGGCTTGAGATATGATGGAAATTGTTAGGAGTATGAAGACTTACTCCGCGGAGCGATCAATCTCCAGATACGGACGTCTTGCCCGTACCACGGCACGCCTTACAGAGGCACGGAGGCGCCAAATGGAACAATCTTGCCTCTGGTTTTGCGCCACCGCCACAAATCACGCCAACGCAGTTCCTGGCTGGCTGTGTTCGCCTGATAAGGAGCTCCCGCGCATTACCGCCGCGCTTCAGGAGATGTGGAGACAAAATCCGAACTTTTCATCCCTGCTTCCTCACTCAACACGAGTTCCTGTGGACCTGCGGTGTTTTATAATGGAGAACGCAGGAACTAGGAGGTCCGATGTCAACTAGGAGTCAGGAAACTACGATAACATATGCATAGGCTGGCAATCCGCGGATTGTAAAATCTCTATCTCTTCTGTACAAAACGAAATCTCAACAGAGTGAGCGAGTAGGTCCGAATGGCACGGAGACCGAATGTAGTTGTTCTTGCGCCACTTTCTCCCCATCTTCCTTTCTTTTTCGTTACTCCAGTCCAATAATTGTGCCGAGGGCATGGCTCCGGCTCAAAGGGAACTTGTAAGAGCCGTCCTATCTGCGTCCTGGTGTGTTTAAGTAGAGTCTCGGGCAAGTGTTTTATCAAGTTCCCTTTGCTCTAAAGCCACGGAGTCGTCACAACTCGGCTACAATGGCAGGTGCTTTATCGTGCGTCTTTCAGTCAGGTTTTTATGCATGTTGCAATTGGCTGTTCAGAGCCTCAATAGTAAAACAAAAACATACCTTCCTTTATACCCGCGTAGCAGGTACACCACTGGGGTTTCGTTAGGATGAAATATAGTCACTGTACCTAGGCCTGTCAAAGGAAGTTACCCTCCTTGATGTGACACGTCGTAAGTTACCTGTAAATAGGGTCCGATTCTATACTACTTACAGCTGGAAGGCCATTCAGGACAAAGGGGTTACCATTTCAATTTACCACGCGAATATCGTCATCGATAGCCAACAAGGAAGGGCTTAGAACTGCTGCGGGACTTTCTATATCTGTCTTCGAGGGTCCTTCCCGGAACCGTATCTTCATCCCAGTAGCGAGATGTCATTTCGTTCTTTCTGGGAAATGAAGACGCGTGCACGTCTTTAGGAGTAAGCCTGAACATTAGGTTGGATCTGTGCTTATTCCATCAAGGGCCCTACAGCTCATACCGTCAGTAAAAAGCCTTCATCTCATCAACTCCAGCCCGGCGGCAAGCGTGCGTGAGCCCCGGGCACGGAGGGCCGGCCCGCCTGAGATGAACGAGATTTCAATAACTCTTGTTCCCAGGTTCTGGTCTCTTGAGATACTTACCAGCCGAGTTTGTCAACACCATTAATTTTCACCTGACAGTAGAGGGAATTAATTACAGACAACATCGCGGTATTTTGTAATTAAATACAAATTTGGTAGATATGACACTAATACACTTTCCCACTGCTGTAGCAATTGGAAGATAATGTCCTATAACAGTTAATAAACATGAGTCACAGTTCTCAATATTCCCTATCAAGAACAAATCCCCAGCAGTAATCTTTCAAAGCTTATGATGCTAACATTATTACCATTTGAGAAAAACATACTGGATTATACATTTGCCATTGCAATAAATATGCAGGATAAATAACTTATTAGCTCAACTCTAAGCGCTAATGACATCGTAGCTTATTAAAATTGAATAAACACACTCTGACACATCTATCTATTTGATGTTCCCACTTTTTTCAGAAAGTATCTGTGCGACTCATCTCACTGTCACTAAACCATCACAAAGGCCCCCTTTCCATAAGACGATGATCCCTTAGCTGGGCAACCGTACAGCGACCAAAACTGGATTTGTGTTACCTTTGATTTCATAATTGGAATATGATGTTTAGTATAATTAAAAAGATTACAGAACACACAAGTTAAATGACTGTTTCTTTATATATGAAATTCGTTGAGCGATCTGTCAAATCTGTGGTCCCTCAGGCGGTCGCAGCCTTCAGTGAAAAAGGAGTATGGTGACACACGTATCTAAGCCGCCTAGAGAACAACCATGACCCCACAAAGCCGGGCTTCGGCCTTCCTGCGTCATCAAACAGCGACCCGCTGCGTGTCCTGGAGTGCCCCGGACAGCGGCAACATTATGCTCGTGGACTGACTGGCGAAGTTACCGATTCAGAAAACATGAAATATGTCGTAAGGCCTGTTGGTTGTTGCTCAACGGCCATCGCATGAGGAAATTGAATAATATCCTACTGCTAACGTACAAGTAGAAATTCACCTTATAAGTGACCTACATCTAAGGTCGACCGTGCAGACTCTTGTTGGTTCCTTTAGAAAGCGCATAGCTTCTTTTTAATGAATCATACATTCACTGGGGCGATCATATGACGCTATTCTCTTCCCTCTCTATATGACCATGTTGATTTGACTATATAAATGACATCCTCTGGGAACCCCAAAACTGATGCGAGCGTGCAAATAAAAATAAAGTTTGGCAAAAACGTTGACTTCATTATGAAATCTACGTGGTCATGAAGGTTGAACAAATGACTTAACACATAGAGTATTGTATGATGAATAATAGACTCTTCATTTTCATTTCTTCACATTTTCTTCTTTTTCTTTCGAATTGCTTTTACCATTAGTGCAATTACGGCATATATTTGCACATTTTGCACCTGCTTTGTACGATTTACAGTATGGTCGAAAACTTTTCTTTATGAAACGGACGAAAATACATGGCCTATCCGCTAGATCATAGGTAATGACCGTGTGATGTTAACGCGTTGTACTTGCCGCCCACACAGTTGATGTACGAGCTGCGGAGCCCTGATGCCACCTTAGAGGAGTTAGAGCTGGCCGAGACGGACTTACGGAAGGTGGCGGACAAGATCTTCCAGGAGCTGGATGAAGACGGGGACGGGAACCTTCAGTGCAGGGAATTTGTAGACGGTCTGACGCGGATGCCCTATCTCTTTAGGATGGCTGACGGACGGCCTATCATGCAGTGACAGAGCCCGGGGGCGGAACACATAACAGCTCATAACCCCTGGGTATACCTTTCAAGTCTGTTACTTTGCTAAGCTCAGAGGATAGGGGCTGTCGGGAATTGTTATTCTGAAGATAAAACATATACGTGCTATTAGCGTACACGTTGACGTCGCAGACGAATGTACGAAAATATGGTGTTGGGACTCATCCCATTATATATATTAACTGCCGTTTGAAATTTGCAAAAATCGAACAGTCTGAGAAGAGGAACATCTTTAGACACGACATTTCTAATCGTTCATTTGGGATAAGCTCATCTGGGATGCAAGCCAATAGCATGAGCATACATAATCATAATATACAAGCCAGACCTGCGTAGTAATTATTAGCGGTGTCGTGTTTAAGATAACGCAGCTCTATCAACCTACGGACAAAGATTGCTCAACCATAGCCCATACATAGTTCCACATTTTCTGTGAGAAAGTTTTAATTACGTATTGTTTATTACACTGTGTCCAAAACACCCACGCTTGTACCAATACGTATTATTAATAGTGACGTTACTGATCGATGCCTACTACTGATCGTGTGAGACATTTCACTGACACTAGCGCAGTGAACATTCATTCAATTCAACGGCGTACGCAACAAATAATGCATTCTAGTAGCATCGTCATCCCCACGTGAAGATAATGCTATTTTTGGGGCATCGTTGTAGCTGTACCTCAGTCGCAAGACACACCAACACAGGTGTCTCCCCTTGCCTCGGCTCCATTCTTTACCTTCTTTATCAACGACTGACTTTTGCTGCGGATCGTTTCTCAGTAAGGTGACCTTTAATACGTGTGAGCAGTGAAAATATATTGCCGAGAGTAAATGACTTCTTATCGTTCAGATAAAATGGAAACTAGAACAATCAAACCAGGCGAAACAAAATGTTAAATCGTTCCAAGAAATGGGGACATTTAATCATTTACCGTGGGTGCGTAATAAAGATCCGACATGTATGAGACCATTGACCTTTCGACGTAACACAACCGCTAGTCGCTAGTATAGGACACAGTATACAATAGAGCATTACTATTTGTTACTCAGTGAAATGTGATTAAAGGCTGATGTGTTACGTCAAATATTGAGTTTTACTTACATTTTGTAACTATTGATTTAAATACCGGAGTCAATTTCCCGCATACTTTCAATAGTCAAACTACTGTCTATCTACCAAAGACAATATACATATACAGAGAAAATACATGTAGCTATAGTTCATTAATAACGATTGATCTATCTTGTTCAGAAATAAACGTATAAATAAACCACAACTTCGCAACCATACAAGCGACGGAAGAACCAACTATCCAACCAACAATTCAACCAACCAACCAACCAACCAACCAACCAACCAACCAACCAACCAACCAACCAACCAACCAACCAATTAAATCACACACCAATCAACCAAGAAAACAAAGAAACGCAGACTTCCTGCAGGACAGGCTGAAACTGTTCACTGCTCAATCTGACGAAAGCTAACCAGGGAGATAGCTGATCCCATCACGATGTTTTCCTCCTGACTGCAGCTCTCCAGCTTCTCTTTGTGCGACTGTTTAGTCTCCATGTTGCAGAGGCTCGCGGCGGCCACGAGGCCACCAAGCAGGGAGGAGGCGAGAATAGACACGTAACTCATTGTCTGGAAGGAGAAAGCAGAGAGGATCAGGTTGGTTGTGAAGACGACAGTCAGCAGAACAGATACCAAAATCGCTTCCGTCAGGTCCTTCTTGGACAACCTCCAGAATCGCGCCTTCAGACGGGAGCGGCAGACGGCTGATGTGAAGAAGAACACGTCAGCTGCGGTGCTGAGGCACAGGACGCCACCATAGGAGGTGACAGTGGCGTACGGCGCCGTGGAGCAAGAAATGATGCCATCAAAAGGAACGCTGGAGGACCCGAAACAGCGCGGCTGTGGATCGTAAAGGACGATTGCCGTGAGGGTAACAACGCCGGAAACAGCCCAGAGGAGCACCAGAGGGCCACATGCCGTGGCACCAGACGAGCCTGTGGACTTGCATCGCGTGAACTGGCAGGCCGCACCAACTTTCATGGAAGCCGTCAGTTTGGCAACAAGGCAGAACAGCATGGTACACGCAACAACCACCTTCCAGAGCCCCCCTGAGGAGTGAATGACCTGCCCGGCTGCCTGACTACCGTGGAACAGAAAGAGAGCCAAGACCAAGTGCAGCCGTAATACAGAACCTGTGGAGCGACGACTTTTACCTATCATGAAGTGGATGAAGGCAAACACTAAGAGGAGAAGCATGGAAGAACTATTGGTCACAATTAAGACTGTACTCTGTCGGGAGGAATCTGGCGGAAGCATGGTGGGAGTTACTGGTTGGACATTTGGCCATGTAGCGTAAGTCGATGATCCCACCGATGGGTTTCTGCCCATGTCGCTTGGATTGCTGGAGAGTAATGTAGAAATGCCTCTCCCCTGGGTGGTAACTGGATTGTCCATAGCTGGCATATTCCCACTTGATGACCTTCCTCTTAGGTGATTAATGTTTCCGAATCTTGGTCTTGAAATGTTCTCATACTTGAGGCTTTCACTATGTATGAGACTTCGACAAGAGAGTCGAAATGGGTCGAATACCTTGCCGACAGGACATGACTGAGTCCCGGTCCTTCCGTTGTAGCGTGCCTTCGTTTTATTCAGTTCGGAAAAGTCGAACATGATTCGCAGGGTTGGCACTCGGCTGTGCAAACGATCCCCCTGGAAGGCCGCATCTCTAGAGCAAGTGACATTTGGCCTGAGCCCCGAGGAAGCACATCGAGCGCAATCGATGTTGCGATACTTCTTGACACCAGTTGGACCATTCAGGTACACATTAGCTGTGTAAGAAGAACACCTATCCCTATCGCAGCTACTGTCTGGGCTATCATATATGACTTGTGGTACACAGGGTCGCTCCGTGACGGGTGGAACCAATTCCCAATCACAGTAAGGATTGCTTACAGGGCGAGTAAGCATTCTCCGTAGTGAGCCCCCCAAGAAGCACCTGACAAGACCTTGCCACGACAGCTTCTTTGTGGCGTTGTTACAGTGTGCGCAGAACAGGTTCCGGTAAGATGTGTTTGTTGTAGTGTCGAACACCGGCACGTGACGTAAGGCATCTTCATCCGGATCGGACGCCGACGAGACCTCGCACATGTTCCGTACAGCAGCGTCCCGCACGGCCGCTGGGCAGGTGGCCACCATCCAGTAGTGGCCGTGCAGTCCAGGAGTGCCGATACACTGCAGGGGCTGTCTGTCGTCGAGGTCTTCCTCCTCCCTTTCCCTTGCGTCGCTCTGCATGCACAAGAGGTGGTGATCAGCACAGCAGGTCCCAGCACGGACGCACCCGGCCACACAGGAGCAGGTCCTGGCGAAGGCTGGCGAGTCGTCGTGGCATCGCCAGCGGCAGGAGTCCGCCATTATGACCTTGAGAGGTTGAAGGTCGCCACCAGTGCCGTTTCTCGTCGTCTCACACTCGGTGTGATAATCCCGGCAGCAGTCGCCAAACTCCCGGCAGCTGGCGTCGCACTGGCAGTTGAAGGTACTGTTCCACTCACCACACCGGCCCTCACAGCTTTCCAGCTCCCCGCAACCAGGAAACTCACCTGCAGAAATTATCAAAATGCACCTGTAACTGTTGAACTATTTTGTTTACCACGACGCCGTCTGTGATAAGACATGGTTATGAAATATCGAGAAGTAAAGGATGGTGTGAAGACCAATCATTGCCTACCATATTGACCGTTGTCCCCTTCCCGTTGGCCTGTCTTGTTTGCGTCCATGGTCTCATGTACAGGTACAGCCGTATAATTGAAGCTTTCCGAGCCGATACCAGTTACACGCGGCTCAGTGGCAATTCCCACCGGGGAAGGTTCAGTCGTCGCACCGCTAGAGAGGGCGTCGGAGGCGGCGTCAGCACCGAGGAGGGACGTACGTGTATGGATAGGAACAGTGGGAGTCTTGACGATGGTCACGTTCTTCAGGCCGGGCTCGCTGGTTCCAGGGCGAGTAAGATGGCTGTTGTCCGGGCGTGGGGTTGTCTTGGGAACATGCGACAGTCCTGGGGGGACTCGTCCGGCGAATGACGGCGGCAATCTCGGGAATAAGACTCTGCGTCTCTGCCTGATTCTGCCACCGTCGGGATCAGCCGGGTTTGGTGGACCGGTCACCTGGAGGGGACTGCCTGCCACCGTGCCGGCTGGTTCGGACACGGGCGGGCGGGTGTCAGCGTGACGGGACTCCGGTACTACACTGGTAGAACCGGCTTCCTCCGCGTGAAGCATGGCGAAATATACAAGCAGCCACAAAGGCAAGCTTCGTGTGCCTGCCATCACTGCGCCTGCAACCAGGAAAGAAAAATTAAGGCTATGAATACAGAAAATATTCTTGCAAGTTAAAACGTAATGCTATTACTGTAGCATAAGATTACCAAGAAGCACAATTTGGTGACTGTAGAAGACAACGGATCGTGTTTTGAAATCCACTTTCCATTTAATCCGGTTATCAGATTTGAAAAAGTTTCATTTCATCTAGTATTTAGCCAGGATATACACGTGGCCTACTGGAGATTTTAAGTGATTTCTTGAGGGAGAATCCTGACTTGAAATAACATAATGCAACATAACATGTTATGTCATGATAGGATTGGTAGCTCTGACATCACCAAGGGAGCACGGTTCATGTATGAATGGTTTTTAACCAAATGCCGATGACAAATGTAGGCATGCACAATATTCATTGAGACTTATTTTTATCTCAAGCTTGTAACATACGGAGAACAGACACCATTCTTCTTTCTCTCTTAAAATAATCCTCGACGGAAACATCTGCTAGGAGAGTGTCGTGCCTGTGCGCGGATGCACAATATAAACCTGACACCTGCTTAACTTATAACTCAGACTGAATACAAGAGCCTAACTGGAAATCAGTGATAAGATCATAGACATTCTGGCTTACGGAAACAGGAATATAATACATATGCAGGTTGTAGACCTGGCATTACGAGTACATTAGAGTTAGAAATATGAAGGGTGCTCGTCACCTGTAAAAGCTGACTTCACTGCCAACGCGGCGGTCCTCCAGATCCAGGAGGCGAAGACGGCGTGAGCTGGTCTCTCACAGCTCAGTCCGTCCTTCTAGGTCGTGAGCTGTCCGGAAGAAGATTACATCTAAAAGTAGGAAAGCAATCAGGTGGACGGTGGACTTTAATGAGGCATTAAAAAGAACATGATTAAAGGTGGGATGAGCTGGTCAGTCCTCGCAGCTGCGCGACAGCGTTGCTTCGGCAACTGTGGGGCGTTTTCATGTGTTTTCATGGGAACATCCTGTCGCTTGGGATTGAACACAGCATGGGACATCTACATCCCGTGACTTCTTGATTGAACTAATGAACCTTCATGTATTTCCAAAGGACACATCCTGTTTACAAGGAAGGTGGAACCGAAAGAAGCACCGCATGTGCTCCCTGTGACGTGTTGAGCCGATAAATGCGCTTTGTGATATTTTGCAAGAAGAACGTGTCAACAAGGAAAGTGGTCAGCATCGTTTCAGCACCAAGGTCGGAGACCAGGCCTGAATCTGGTCATTCTCGTTGTTGGTGGTGTAGCTTTCTTTATTCTCTACAACCAAGCAGTTCATTCTAGTGCAATAAAATACGATCCACACACTGCCAAAGATGAAATATAGCAAACCAGCCTGTAACTGCATGTTATAATATGGTCCCACTTGATTTGTGCGTTTTATTTGTAGATAACATTATTGTAGTAAAGTATCATAACGCATAGGATAGAAGACCTATACCAACAATATACACTGCAATGAATTTCGGGATTCTGTTATAGTTGTTCTCAATGTTTCTAGTACATTTGGCACATGGGTTGTACAAATCATTTTTCTATGGTGAAATAGATTACCTGTCATCAAAAGTTAGCTCCTAAGTACACAATCACTATCCAGGATTTGATTATTCTGCTTAACTAATTCATTTGAAACAGATTCTGTTAAAAACAACAACAACACATAGTTATAGAGCTTTCATTCGAACAACATGTCTGATACAGGCCAAAAATCCACTCCTCAATTCTCCTGAGTAAAAATTGTTCCTTTGACAATTCCTGAGAGAAGCAAGCTTTCCAAGTCTGAAACAGTGTTGAATACAAAAGGTTCAAATCTTTGCCATTGCACATAATGGTCTTTGCTTCAGTAGTGCTATGAATACAACCCTAAAATTGTAGTGAGAAGATCCTTTTAAAAATTTTAAGCAGGGTACTAGCATCTAGAATCTGGCTACTTGCTAGTACTGAGACTACAGGACACACTAAGATTGACTGTTACAGAAGTTGTTGTTACAAAGTAGTAATCCTCTAAAACTGCACATGTTGTATATCAAGCCTTGTATGTCCCTGGACAGAGTAAACAACACACCACCAACACAACACTTGTCGACTTACTGTTCTTATCAATACATGTACTTGGTGATTATCCCATACTAGTATCTACACATATCTGTTCATTTCAACCTGTGGGACCTATCTTGATATAGGATGTACAGATGACAACTTATCACTTAAACCCTCGTGGTCAGTGTTGCCTGACCATCCTCTGTTTTCATGGCTGTAATTTGAGGTATCCTGGTTTACAGTGATGGAATGAGAAGATCACAACAAGAAGGGGATGATGGCTGCTCTGTCCTTGGGGTAATTGTCAAACTTCTGCAGGTACCACCTACAACAGGACAGAAGCACAGGGAAGTTCAAGGTTAATCCAAACATACCAGACCAGTACAATACAAAAGTGTACATGACAAATTTATTAATCTATCTTTTACTTTTAATCTACAAAGCTACATACATGTACATGTCTGTCAATACATCTACAAACACACTCACACCTGTATACACAAATAAACAAACAAATAAACAAACACATACATACTCTCTTATAATTTTATCATGCAAACAGAGAGACAGAGACCAAGCAGCCCTTACTTGTGATGAGTGAAGGCCCGAGGTCCAATGTTCAGAGTGGTGAAGGTGGCAAAAGCTACAGCCTGGAGAGACCAGCATGCCACGGCAAACCCTGCCCACTCCAAAATCTCACCAAAGAAGTTGGCACCAGAAACATATGTGAACATCCCTCCTGTGATAAAAACAGAAATTAATATGTGTAGATGAAAGTTCAGCTACAGTTTAAAATACAAGATAGATTCTCCACGGTGTAACATGTTTCCACGATGTTTCCCAGTAATTGTAAAATCTCAGTCAATGGACAGTCAGGAAATGTTACACTTGTCTCCAGACACAGCTTTTCAAAACAGTCAGAAGGAGCCTACCTTGTGGAATCTTGTAGCCTGCCTCCCCAGGCTTCCTGAGGCTGCGCAGGATGTGGTCCGAGTGAATGTTTATGGCCATTCCAGCAGCAAACATGAAGACCCCTGCAACAAAAACATGTGTCATCCCAGCACAATGCAGAAACATAAATTCAATTGTTCTCTTGGCCAGGACACCAACTATCTTAGTCTGGTCTGTGTGTACCTCACTTTTCAGAACTGAGCTAACTAAACTCTGAGCCCTGGCCACAGGTTCAACTCCCTACTATGCTTTAAACATAAGGGGTAACTACCTACAAAAAACTAAATACAAACTCCTTGGCCTAAAAGTTAACTGTGAGAACCACACAGAATTATCTCAGCAGCCTTATGTAAGAAGAGCTAGATTCATGACACACACCTACAATAAACCTGGGGTCTGTCAGCCAGCCGTCTGGATACTGTGCATACTGTGACAGGTACCTGGCCTGCAGGTAACCATTGTACACACAGAACAGCAGAGCCAGGAGGAAGGGAACCAGGGGGGTGGGCTTCCCTCCACGGATCAGCAAGGGGAAGATTAAAGACCTGCAGAGGGGAAAAGATACAAGGATTAAGTAAAAGCAGTGAGTCTTCTCTTACTGTGTTATTATGCACGCACCATGTTCCCTTCTTCATTTCAATTCGATTTGTTTTGCATTAAACTGCTTCAGCCATGGTTAACTGCACAACCACTGCACTGCTGGCCCTTAACTCACAAAATCTTGAAACGAAGTTGGAAACACAACCTTCACTATTAAGTCAAGAAATCCAGCTAACGTCAATGTGTAATATGTTCTTGAATGCAAAGTTCAAGATTTTGTTCACACAAACCAGCAAAATCCCTGACCTTACCTGTGGAAGTAGTGCAGCATGTACATGGCGAGCAGGACTCTGTTAGGGAGATGTGCCAGCCTGTCTGCGGGCGTGGCCAGGAGGAGGAGACACGGCACTCCAAACGCCGGCAGCTCCTGTACGAGCCACGCCACGCGGGCGGGCAGGAAACCCGGCACAATGAACCGGGTGGAGTTGCGGCCGTACAGCGCGGTGGTGACAAACGTGAGGAGGAGGAAGGTCGGGACGGAGATGGCGATCATGCCGTAAGCCAGGGAGTCCAGCAGGGCCAGCTCATCACCAGGCAGCTCCAGGGAACTGGACATGACTGATGACTCTGTAGTGAAGCTGACTTTCTATAGATAAAACATGTGTAAAAATTCATATTGCAGCTGCTGCAGCAGTATTAATCTGAGGACTCCTTTGTGGTGATACATATACTGTGGTATTGTTTGCAATGAGCTTGAAGTCAAAGCAAATTACAAAGACGAAAATTATGTACTTCAAAACATAATAGAACGAATAAGGAATGCCCATTGAGCCATCAACAAACAGGATTTGACACCTTTTCCATCTTTCCATCACCTTAACTTAAATGATCTTAATTTCTATGGGTTGGTTTTCCATGGCATGAATGCTGCATGAAACAATATGCATATTGACTGCCACACCTCTCTCAAAATTATGTCTGGAAAGACATACATAGTAGCATTTCGGCTATGCCAAATTTTGAGGAGACATGATGATTGCCCCGCCCCCTAATTACGCCCCTTCGATACAGGTAACCTGTTCAACTGTTGGCTTCAAGCCCCCCTCCCCCTTCCAACAGTTACACAACATTCTCTCCATCATGTTGAGGGTAAAGAACAAAACACGCATACAAGCTATCTCTGATATCTGCCCTATGTTGCTCCCTGAAATCCGCCATGTGTTGTGCCCGTTAATTATAACGACAACGCTTGCTGCTTAGGATAAGTGTTACCTCCCCAACACCTCGCTGTCGCCGATGGGTTCGTAATGCTATGCAGTGATCTGTGGTCCGAGAACGCCACCTGTCGAATGTTTACAGCATTGCAGAAAGTACCAAACATTTCACTTTGAATGGCCCTGGAATGGCCAATAATATATTACCACGCCACTGGAGATAAATAATATCGAAGTAGTGGAAACTTTGATTGACAAGGTGAAAAAAATCTAAAGCAGACAACGTATACGTAAAAAGAAAGGGCGAAATAGAATTATTTCACACACTAATCACTGATTTGCGTCGGACATGATAGACCCATGATAATGACAATCACGTTTGTCATTTTTTCGCCTACGATTTTTGCAAAGACCTGCCTTTAAGTAGCTTCGTTTTCATCAGTCATTAACATTTTCTGGGTTGGCTCTGTCCGAGTGTGGGGAAACTCTATCATGTCTATGATAAAAAGCAGCAGTGCTCGTCAAGTCTATGAATATTAATTCAGCCCCCGGCGGGGACTGAAACGCGGATCGCACTCCATTGCCATCAAACGCAGCCCTGGTCACGTTACAAGTTATCAGTAGAACACGGCACAGTTCACCGTTAACTACACTGCACAAAGCTTCCCGGGGGACACGCTGAGAGCATTCCATCTGCGGCTGGTTAATCTCGAGCAGCAGTCACAACGCAGCGTGCAAAGATGAAGCCAGAGGCCCCTCCATCCGCGGAGGGAGTGGAGAAGCCGGGAGAGTCAATGGCCAACAAACTGCAGCACAAGCATGGCGCGGCGCCTCTCCCCATCATCCGCCCCGTGGCCGCCGACAACAACGCTTCGGCCGCCGGCTCCGGCAGGAAGGAGAAAATAGCCAGCAAGACAAACAAGAAGTGGATGCGGCTCGCCACCGTCTTTGCCTATGTGTTTTTCGTGTCCCTCGCTGCCATCATTTTGGCCATTTACTATAGCTTCTTCTGGGTAGGCACACCCCAGAGTATCAGTGCACAGACAAACGGCAACGACACTGTCTTCAGTTCGGCATGATCTTTTTTTTTGACAGCCCTGGATTCCCGGTAGGATATCTTTATTTATACCTTCAGTGACGCAAATTTTGGGCTAGCATGCACAGTCATTGCCTTACGTATTGCTTATGTACTGAAGCAACAGAGCAGTCAGGGGCCAAGTCAAGCATCCGCGCACGGCAGGTGTCATTCATTACCTTCACAATGGTATTCTACCAACAATACCTCATTGCTGGAATCAAAGGCTTTATGTTAGACATTTTCTCTGACTATTCTCCTGGCATGATGTACCTGTACAAGGTACTGAAAACATTGATGTTAATCTGGTGTATTTTTTCCCCAGAGAAGATAAGCTTCCAACAGGAGAAAGGATGGTGTGATTTCAACCTTATAAATGATCTCTAGCCGTGTCCACCGATGCTCGAGCTCCCGGAGTATCCATCACCTTGTGTAAATAACGACTTATATTTGCTGCTGCCTCGTGGATGAAAAATCACCAAGGACTCGGGTATTCGTGCCATGACACGTACAGTGTACCCATGACTGATCCATTAACAGTAATCAGCACAGATGCATGCACGGCCCACGTCGCTCGGACATTACCTGTCTATTGCGCCTCGCGCTGATTGAAACCACTCAACTCATTAGTCCCTGCTAAATACATCATCGCACTTTGGAACCTACTTAGGGGTAATAACGTTATGCCGCATCATCAGTGTCTGCTCCGACCCCTTTACTTAGCTTTACGTTTGTCACCACAGTACGTCAAAACAAGACTGCAGAAAATAATCATGTAGCATCATCTAAAGGACGATATTTCTAAGCCTCTAATGCTAGAATCGTGAACGGTATTTTGATATTGCCGAGTTTGTTTTCGCCGATGCGACTGTTTTGTCACTACTATTTTGTTGATTTGTTCTGACGGTTTTCGTGGCTGTACATTGTGAAAAGGTGACCATTAGAACACAGGAGTCGGAGAGTTGAAATTGGCGATTTCATAAACACCTTTCATGGAGCCTATCATAGTGATGTTGGTATAAATATTACGTTTTCTTATATATGATGTGTATGTGTTGCTACCTTTGGCAGAAAAAAGATACCATTGTATACAGTCATGTAAAAAGGGATATATATAGGATGTTATGTCAAAGTAAATCGCATGGCGCCATTTCACATGGTACTGTAATCAGAAATTATTGTGGCCTGAAAATGGTATATGTGGATTGAATCGATTCCACATATCAGGTCGGGTGTACCTGTGGTGCGTCTGGTACGGCCCGGTAAGTACTCCGTCCAGTACCAACAGATAACGTTCTGACGGTACTTACGTCTCCAGTGATATTCCGAATAGACATTATACAATGACGAATGAGAGATTACAATGAGACCTTTATAATGGATGAAGCAGAAAACCGGTTCACCGATGTGCATGTACTTGAGCCGGATTTATGTGACATTTTCCTCCCAAATGGGTAATCTGGCGTCTCTGTGCACTTTTTCACTCGTGCTTTTTGTACCATGGAATTTTGGAAGTCCTGCACCTATTTTCTTGTGTTGTATACTAGCAAGGAAATTATCTGTACGACTCTATATTGAATGTCGCCATACTCTTGTCAACTTTCATGTACGAATATGTATGAATAAATTGTTTGTATTATGTAATGTTTCTGACTCACACGTCTGTCCTGTCTTGTGATAGGCCTTATCCGAACCTACAACTGCTCAAACCAATGATGACCAAAGTTCTGTTGTATTGTGCTGTACCATTCATGCACACATGTCAAAGCCATGTCAAATACTGAAATATTTACCACACCTCTACTGTAGACAGTTTTAAATGACACGTTTACATGAAAGTTATAACAGGGTGATTGTGTTGTTGAGTCTTCCACAGTTCCCCAGAAATTTTGGACCAGCAACAAGACACGCTAGTAACAGTAACACAATTAATGAATTCCATGTCACAGGTTGTGACCAGTTTATTCCATTATCATCATCATAATAGTCCCTTGCAGCCCTGGTTACATTCATTAGAAAATGCTATCTCTACAGAAACCAGTGACTGCGAGCAACAGTCTGTCATGGTATCTCAGGACAAAACATCTTCAAGGAGCTCACTAACAGCGGTGCATGTTAAAAAAAGCACAGTGCAAAATCTATACAACAGAAATCAACTGTACAACAATAACATTGTTGTCCCATCCTTATGTTCCTATTGAACATATTCACAGATGGACACACATGTATAGGTAGAAAAGCACACATCCTGGATAATTTAGCATTTTCAAACATGATTTACAATCAGGACAAACTGTACTAGAGCATACCTCTCCCTCCATGAATTGCAACTGTTCAAACATGTCATAGGGAGTTTATGTCGAGCCTCCACACTTGTGTTCACCTGCCAGAAATGTACACATGTACAACATCTCATTTCACTCATCTACTACCATCCTATGGTAATCTGCTGCTGTCTGGCCATGAGTTCCAGTCTTAATAGCAGAGACAGCTAAAGCAATCTATGCCACAGTAAAACATGCCATAGAAGTAATATAGGTGCTATGACAGTATTATTCATTAAAACTTCTAAAAATGTGCATCAATTGAAATACATTTGGATATACACTGAAGTTACAAGAACACAGACTCATAAAAACCAAACTAATACTATTGTATAAGTTAAATTGGCTACTATAATACCAACAAAACTGCACACTTTTCATATCCTTCAAAAGCTGCTTATACTACTTATCACAATAAAAATACAGTAGACTGACCAAATTAGATGTTGTATCACTTTGTACTACTAGTAATTTCAATTTGCACCAGGTGCATGCATTTGCATTAAAATTATTTATAATTGAATAAATAGTTGTACAAGTATTCCAGTGTCATTACTTGAATCAAATATGTTGTCATTTCATTCTATAACAGCTTGAATATAAACATACAGGTCGACACATAACTTGAGTTGCATGACACTCAAACACAGTCTCAAACACTTGACTGCACAGATGACAGAGGAATTCTTAAGCATATACAGGTAATAACCATATTCACATTACTGCAATGTAACCAGTTTCAAAGAAATATTCAATGACAGCCTATAAGCTTTCACCTATCAGGTCAAACCGTCTGTTCACTTGGCACTCAGAGAAAGATTAAAAAGCTTCTAGTCTAGCAGCTTAAAACCCCAAGGTACTCGTACTAGTCAATTGGCTATGCACTATTGTCTGTTACAGTCTGAATCTGCTCAAACATATTGTACAATAGCTTCTGTTTAAAACAGTCTGAGACTCCAAGTGAAACATTGCCATGCCCATGAAACCTTCTGTGGTAGTGTTTGTGAATTCTAGCTGCCACAATTCAAGCAACATGATTTTATTTTATCATGTCATTATCAGAATGTCAACAAATACAAACCTGGGAGATAAAATCTTTCTTAAAATCTTTCTAGTACTTCCCTATAGTGATGAAGTTGTGCAGAATTTCATTGTTTATACACAGTAAAACATTAATTTTTTTTCATTTCTCAACAATAGCAGAAATATTTTCAAGCTTTTTTTCCACATAGGTGTACCACTTCTGTTAAAGTAGACAGTTTGCAGCAGTGTCCAGTCTCTGCTTGTATGACCATTGACCACTATCCATTCTCTGAAAAGAAATAAATAAACAGAACTTAGTTCATGACAATTCTATACCTACTATAGAGTAAGACACACTGGAGACTAAGAGAAACAGCAGCGGAATGGAAAGGAAACAAAGCATACATGTTGTGACAAAGTGCAGCATGGTGAAAAGTGGTTTATGCTAAAAGGCCAAGGATGTGCACTGTGGAAGTGTGATTCCGACTGCCCACTCCCAGTCGTTGTGTCCTTCCTAGATTTACCATCGGCACATACGTAAGACATACATGAAGCCATGGTCAGTAATGGTAGGTTTTGTACAGCACAGTTTCTGTTGATTTGGTGTAGCATAAGGGAAATATTGGACAATAACATGACTTGCATGGCGGACTGAAATACAGGCATTTAAAGCCATCATTTTTAGACCATAGTTACATTATTGTAGGTCTGACTTTCTTTTCACACACAATACAACGGAGTTCACAAATTAGAAGTGTTCTTGTCTAGTTTCAAAGTACGCAATACAAGGTTTTGCTACTCAAAACTGCACAATATCATACTGTACTGCACAAAACCATAGTGAAGAAGTGCACAAGTGAGGAATGATCCTAGCAGTGTTTGGATGTACAAGGAAACACAAACACAACAAACTATTGCACAACAGCCCTCTACTGCAAGCACTAACACTGAAAAGTACTAATGTAGTTCCACATAGTGATGGGGGTGATATCCTAAGCACATGTAGGCAGCCACTACTAGCCACGCCATGTCCTATCCTGCAAACACAAATACAGGGATGGTACCTCATGCAGCTACCACCAACATGCATTTACTGCTATGGAGAAGTCTTCTTGGTGTAAGCAACAGTGTTATAGTCACTGATGTTGATGGCACCACAGCTGGATTCAGCATCAGAGAGAGGGAACTCACAGTCAGACAAACTGGGTTCCAGGGTGGGAGGGGGGCTCTCTCCCTCCCTAACATCTTCAGAATGATCCCCTGATTATGACAGACAGGACAGTAGGTAATGACATGACTAGGAGGTAGCATTGTCAAAGAGAAGAATACAGTCAGGAAATATGGTAGAATGGAAGGTCTGGGGGCTATTCTGTTTAGTTTACTGGGGTTCCGATACTCACGGCCTCAAAATATATCTCCAGACTTGATTTTGAGGTTACAAGGATGGGAGGCCTGGTACACTAAATAGGATTGCACTCAGGCTAATATTTCACCTCATCTTGAAAATTATCACCAGCTGGGCAGATTGCTCACAAAACATCATTAAAGTTGCCACCAAAGAACAAAATAAATCCACCGCAGTTTCAACAAATCAAATCAAATCAAATCAAATAAAAAGTGATTATGCAAACTCACTTTCTTCCCCTTCTGCTGGAGCTGAATCTTCTGCTTGTTCCCCTGTTGATTCTGTTGGACTTTTTTCTGCATCTTGTGTCTCTGTTCGGAGAACTGTCATATCTTCAGATGTAGGTTCTGCTGGTTCAGCCACAGCCTCTGAACTTTTTGCAGCCTCCACAGTTGTTTCAGCTACAGGCACAGCAGTTTCTTTGACATCTTCAGCATTCACAGTTGATGGCTCAGCTGCAGTCACTGGAGATTCTTCAGCTTTCACAGCTGTGTCTTGTTTAACCAGCTCTTCCGATGGTATTGCAGGAGCCTCCTGGTTAGTAGGCGTTACTTCTTCAGATGTGCTGACTGATTCGGAGGCTGGAAAGACAATCATTCCATCACATTCCATGCCAACACACACAATATCAAGATTCATTACAAAATGTAACAATATACAAAATTCAACCCAGTTTGAAGTCTCTGTTTGGGACAGCACTAAGTTCAGACTGTATTGCACATGTTTACCACAGCTCCAACGATGTACTGATAACTTTATTGACTTACGTGATGACACTTCTGAGCTGTCAGAAGCTTTCGTTTGGCCAGCACTGCTGTCTTGAACTGGGGTAAGGACATCATGTTCATCTTTGGAAGGCACTTCTGTAGTGATATCCTCTCCACTGACACCCTGCCCTGGTGCCGAATCACTCCCCGTTCTGTGTCGTCTTCTGCACTCCTGAATAGGAAACCATCAAGTCACTTACTGCAGTTATGATTGTCAAAATAGTATTATGTTTTCAACACTATATTGAAAATTTTTATTTCTGGACAACACTTCTAAGGGGAATGTGACATGAAAACTTAATGATAAATTGACTCAAAATGCATGTACTACCTGGATGCACTCAATACAGAAGTGTTTAGTGGGAGAATCGCACCAATCATGACAACTGATAACCGGATCCTTACTGTTCTTTGTGGCTTGGGCTCCTCACTGGTCTTCTCGACAATATCATCCTCACAATCGTGGAACTCCTGCCCCTCCTCCTCCTCCCCGTATGGGGAGTCCATCCGTGCATCGGGAGGGTAGCCCTGGCCCTGCTGGACATCCCCCCAGTCCCCGGACAGACTGCCGCTGCCACTCTCCCCCATCTCCACCGCCCAGTCCGCCACGTGGACGTGGTCAGGGGGGGTCCTCAGCTCCAGGGGGGAGGTGGGGGACATGGGGTTGGTGGGGGAGGGCGGCTCGCGGGCGGGGGGCATCACCAGGGGCGAGATGGGCCTGAATCGGTTGTTGTTGTTATTGTTGTTGGCATGGCCGTTGTCCTCAGCTACGGCTTCCTCCATGGGTGTGTTTGCTGTCTCCTGGGCATCGGCCACCTCGGCTTGCTCTCTGTTGTTTTCCTTGTTTTCCACTTTGCGGTTCTCTCCCTGTACAGTGACAGTGAGGCCCTCGGCAGCAGCCTTCTCAGCCTTGTCACCCTTCAGGGACCTGGTGCGGCGCCGCTGCTTTCTACGACCCTCACCCTCCTCATGTCTGTCCCCTGATCAAGAAAGAACAATTTGGTTATCGGCCAAAGAGTGACGGAGGATTTGAGCCTGTATTACTGGCCCCAAGAATTTGGCAAAGCACACTGGGTCACATCTTCTCTTCTCAGTTTGTTGGTCTTTTAACATGCAGGACTCATTTCTGGGGCTCTCCCATACACAGATCTTAAGGCTTATACTAAGCAAAAGCAAACTTTGAGACTCTTTTAGCAAGTCTTTGTTGTCAAGTCGATATAAAAAATTACATCCAGCTAAGGAGGTTTAACCAACATACACTACGACAAAATTTCGAAGAGATTTAACGATCAAGTGATCACCTTTCCTGTCTCGTTCAGGTCTCCTTGGCTGGTTACTGTCTGCTGCAGGGAAGCGACCACTGCCTATCCTTTTGCCACCTAACAAACAAGTGGAAACCATTACTTATAAGTTACAATATTGGCCAATGCGCTTTTTGCATAGATAGGGACATGATACAACTAGCATTTACTGAATTGGTGTTAACATTTTATAATCTTTATGTGTTCAGTAGAAGTCCCCTATGCTCATTGTAAAAGCATTTGTAAGTTACCAAGCAGTCAAAGCATCTACAAAAGCATGCAATCTACATTCTTCAGCTAAAACATTACTTGAATGAAGTTAATGCAAACGTAAGGATGGATTGTTCCAAAAACATGATTGTACTGTTAAAAACATAAAAAGTTGGGGTTTACCTTCCTCAAAATCTCTTTCTGTCATGACACCAACATGCAACAAAAATAAAAGCATTAGCATCAGCCGCGCTGTGAGTCTCCAGCATATGAATGATGGTTATTTAGTGTGATAATGCCATGGTGTAAAATAAAGCATTCCAGGATAGACAAAAGTCCAAAAACCACAAATGAAAAGTAGGATCTTAACTTACTTAGTATACATATGGGACTGGAATAACCAATTCCATAATTCCTTTTCAACCGGCTTTACTTTTTACAGCTCTACTGGCTTCTTTATTACTCAAAGCTTTTAAAAAGCTGGAAAATAATTTTAGCTGCTTGTAGCTACGTATTGTATCATCAAAATGCAGTCTACATTTCTATTCAAACTTCCATGAAAACAATGAATCAAAACATTGCATGCTGGTTGGTATTAGGTGTACATACCAAGATAGGTAAAAAATAGTCCTTCAGGATTTTATATACTGTTATATTTCTCACTTTAAGGTCTGTTACCCTTACAGAATATAAACCACATTCTGGTTGGAATTAGTGAGCACAAAAAATAAAAGGAACTATTCAGTAAAGATAAATCTGGTTGATTTAGACAACCTTTATTGAAACCAATGCTTGAATAAAATTCCTAATAAATCACACATTACAGCTTCCACTTAAAATAACAATAACAATAACATGAAGACTTTTAAAAATACATTGTACAATGGTTAATGTCATGGTCAGATTGACAATTGATGTCATATGACTAGTAAATTTACAGAAAAGTATGGGAAACAAAGTATAGAATGGAGCACTGGACACTACGCAGCAATCATGCAATCTGCACTAACAAGAAACAATATAGCCATTCTTCCTTTTGGTGTCATTTGATAAGCAGCAACAAGATGCATACAATGATGGTTCTGCAAGATGATTCTAATTCTGCAAGACAAGCAGCAATAGGCAAGCATTGCAGAAATACAGTTGGAAAAAAGCAATTGTGTACATCAATTTTTGTCATGATTCAATGCAATTGGGAGGGTAAGTATAGAAAGAGGAGGAGCATGCAGGTAGGCAGGGAGGGTCCCCAGGATATCATGAGAGATTTGTCAGAGTACTACTCGCTGGAGGTCTCACCTCTCTGCCGACCGCTGGTCTCGATCCATGCCCCGAGTGTGGGCTGGGAGGGGGCCAGGACGTCTGCGGGTTCTACATTACTGTACAGGAGGAATCAGTAGAAATCTATCAAGACACTACATTAATTGTTTTATTTTTCCTTCACAGCATCTCATACATCCATTACTATTTACTGTTTACAAATAATTTTAACATACAAATACATCACAAGAAAACAGATGAACATAATACTTTCTTAGCTGTGTCTCAACACTAACGTTTCATATCATATATGTGCATTAAGACAGGATATGTTCCTACCCATCCAGTTTCTCCTGGTCCCACTCCCTCTTCCACTCCCCTCCTGCCGTCCGGTGTCTCTCCAGACGTTCCCGGTCGATACGTTCCCTCTCCTGTCTCCACTCCTCGTACTCCTTCCTCTCTCTTCCTGTCATGGACAAGGTCATGTCCATCTTGTCTCTAGACCCTCGCTGGTGATATCGACCCTGTGAAGATGAGGGATACTCAAACTGTTTTCTTGGTCATCTTGTAACTTTCCAAGGGTTATAGAACAAAGGAAATAAAACTTTGAATCATAGTACACCCACAACAGTCAAAGATTCTCTCCCATACAAAATCACACACTGTACATACGCACAGCTCCATACCTGTTTCTGTTGTTTCTTCAGCTGCTCCATGCCGTGCTTCACACCGTCGAAGTCCTTCCCTCCCCAGTTCATTGCACTGCGTCGGCTGCCCTGGTGTCGGTCTTCCACTGCCTCGGGGAGGGGGCCCTGCCGTCTGGGGTCATCAAGGAAGTGGCGCAGTCTCTGATTAGAGAGAGATCCTGTTAATGTCACAGCTATAGAGCACCACAGCAAGGTAAACAGTCCCTACATACTGCTTCCAAACAGTACAAGCAGTCAACTCCCAATATGCCAAAGCCAACAAATGGAAGTGGACAGACTTAAAGAATAGCCGTACCTTTCCCTCAAGCTCCAATTCGGACATAAGTCTGAGCTCCTCTTCCATCTGCTCAATGTTTTTCTTCCTCTTCTCTTCCCATTCCTAGAACAAATTAGATTGTTTGCTAGCAGCAGTGCAACAATGAGTACTATAAGCATTGTTACAACAAAACATTAATAATGCAATCTACAAACTGTGAGTTAAACAATACAGTAACACAGAAACTGATACCAGTAGTCACAAAAGTCCTAAACCTAGGCTATGTTCCTAAATCCTACTGTCAGAAGGAACAAACAACTGATAGAACTGAATTGTAGGCTGAATTACAATATCTTAAGTAAATACCAGAAAACCCCATACCTTAGCTTTTGTGTCTTCTCTGCCACCACCGCCGCCCCCCTCCCTCCTGTCACGCCCCCTGCCCCTCCCAGTGCCTGGGCCTCTGGGCTGCCCTGGTGACTTCGGTGGAAAGGAATCCTTTGGAGCTCGAGGAGACTCCCTGGAACCTCGGGGTTCCCTCTGTTCTTTGGATTTCCATTGCTCTCTGGTGTCCCTCTGTTCTTTAGGTATCCGTTGTGAGCCTGGTGACTTGGGTGGGAAGTCTCCCCTGGGGCCCCCTCGGCCCCGACCACGCCCCCGTGGTGGTCCTCTCCTGTCTGTTCTGTCATGCCCATCTTGGTCGTCCTGTATTATATGCACAAAATATAAACATGACAACTGCATACAGGCCTACAGGTAATGGTATTATTTACCATATATGTGGTGTAAGTGCTCAAAATACATTTGACATTTTGGGAGTTACTTTTAATGTGCAAGCAACCAAAGTCTGAAGGAACTGTAGTGTAATAAGTAGTTTCCTATGGTAACAACTCTTCATTCTACTCACATGAGTTCCTCTGGGTGGAGGTTTTCTTCTCTCATTTGCTTCAGGAAACTGAAAATCAGCAGACTTTGTGGTAGGGCTGACTACAACTGCTGCACCCCCCTTAACAGGAATGGAGCTGCCCGTCTTTTCCGCAGTCCTGCGATCAGCCTCCACTTCCTGTAATGAGGAAAAGTACCAACAGCTGCCACGCTGCTCCTCCAGAAGCCCTCCATATTTCTACTTTGTAGGCCTTATCACTTATTTTCAAGCCTTGTATATGATGCTGTAGGGCAAATATGTCTCAGGGCTGACATTCAGGATGACTAAGAGAGATAAAACCAACAAGATATGCTATCAGCTTTTCTTTCTAACTAGAAATAAAGTTTTGAATGAGTAAAACAGTCTTCAAACTGTAGCTGCTACTGGTAAGTTGCTTCAATATTTGGATAACATTTCTTATCACTAAGTATGCACACTGCTGAAACCATGTGTGTTTCTCTTTTCTAAACAAGGAGATTTCAGAAAGATAATTGTGTTCTGAAAACAACATTCAGCATACACTACCTGATGCCTCTTGAGAAGGGCTTCATTTTTCCTCCTGATTTCCTCCATTTTGCGGTTCAGCATGGCCTCCTTGTCTTCCTTGGACATGTCCCCTGGGGACACAACAGCGGATCCAGCCTCTTGTACATCCGCCATCTTCTAGTGTTTGTCAAGACGTTGTTTATAGATCTAGATGAAGCCAAGAATGAGAGTCAATTTTTTAAATAAAAAAGAACATTTCTAACATGCAAGGAAGTGATACAATAGAAAACTGTATAATACATCTACATTTTTGTACATGTATATTATTTCTCCATAGCCCCTAGAAGACAAAAGAATATAATGGTAGTGGGAGTGACTCTTTAAATTGATCGTTGATTTATCATATAAATGGTTTTAAAAATAGCTGACCAACAAACTTATCAAAAAGCCGGCAAACAGGCTAGCTTTACAGCATCAGGATAACATGTACAGCTTTTGACCCTTATGTTTTACTATTGTGGTAACCACATTGACCCTCCCAGCATGCAAGACTCCACCCATGCGACCAGTCAGCAGCAATGTTGTTATGTCTGACAGACAACAGGTCAACGTGCCACTGGCTGATATAATTTCTCACAATCCCATGGCATTAGTTCCTACATGTACATTTCCGACTTGTTCCCATTGGTGCCACGATAAAGATATAATGTTAACAGCCCTATGATTCTTGACATGATCTTCAACAGCCTGGGAGTGGGAACATGAACAGCAGTGACATGAGGTAATCCATTCCTATGCCAGGAAATAACCATAATTTGTGTCGAACTGAAGCGTGAGGGGCAATCAGGTCAGGCCCGTAAGTGTGGGTTGTGAGGGGATAATTTGTTGTAAAATCATGTATAATCCGGTTCAAAGTCCACACATATTCGTGGCTCGTGCGATCCAAAACACCCTAGATAAGAGCAGGTGCCGAACCCCACGTACAGCCCGTCTGCTGCTGTTGTGCATTCCTGCATGCTCCCACGGGCTTGAAGTCGTCGGAGAGGCACGAATTCCAGTCAGACGAGCGTTTCAAGCACAGCGCAAATTCTGGAGACCGCGGCAGACACACTTGTACCGAGTCGTTGACACGCCTGACAGCTGACGCCAAGTCTCTGTATCCATTTACACCACATCTGTGCTGAGTTGGGCTGCAGACATCTCGATATGCGGGTCGGCCTTTTTTGGTGCTCACTAGCTCAGACTCCATGAGTAACAGGTAACGGCAACCCATCATAACATAAGCCCAAAGAAAACTCCAAAACTGCACAAGTAGCGCAAAATTTGCTTCAAAGGCAATATAAACCAAACACCCCTGCGACTCCGTGTATAGCATAAGGGCACTCATACTCACCACAACCGGTACAAACGCTTGATTTTCCTTCAAACCCAGAGTTGTCACCACTGACCGACCCAGTCAGCCATTGCAGGCAATGCATCATGGGGGTAGGCAGGGTCCGCTATTTGTTACCGCACATTCGTTCGGTGGAGCACACACGATTTCTGATTCTTACGCAAAATTTCAATACTGTGATACAAACAAAGGAATAAAATACCTTGATAAAGCAAAAAAGTCAATTGTTTTATAATTTCAGTCAGATTTGGCTCAAGAAACGTTCGTTCAAACGACTACGTATGTTGGTGCCGAATAGCGGAGAATTTATTTACAGTGTACGAAACGCGGGAAACTTTGAATGGGACTACTAGTATATAAAACAGGCCGTCTGACTTCACAATATTGACCATTTGTATTTTGTCTAACAACGACAGGTCATTGTCCGACCTTACGACAGCTTTATGATTCCATTACCGAAATAGCATACTCCCACCCCTCAAATACTATGACCTGCCATATGTCCATATAGTTGGATGAAAATTACAGTATCATTGCACTACAGTTCCTATGCATCCCCTTAATAATAGATAACTCTGATCAAGGACATTATACACAGTGTATAATGTCCTTGCTCTGATGCTGTACTTTGCATCACATTTTAATATATCTGTGTGTTTTGTTGTTGTGCAAGGTAATATTGTAACTTTCAGGAACATTCTCCCATAAAGGAAAACCCCCTATAAAACCTCAGCATGAAGATGGTGTCATCTTTTATATAATGTTAATATATATGGCCTGTCTAGTCATAATATTATTTGCTTGCATTTCATGAGCAGTGCTCCATATCATCACAGCTCTGTACTTGAAATTATTTTTTTCATTCTTATGATGTAGACATTTTGCATACAAGGAAAGAAACAGAGAGACACATATTTAAAATACAACAGGCAAACACAATGCATCCTATGCTTTTATTCCTGTCATTCAAGTGTAGAGTGAAATAAAATTATCAGTGAATGCTAATACAACTTTGAATTATGCTAACGATGCTGGATACAGGCAAGGACGTTCTTTTTGATGCAGGGTACAAAAAATTCAGAAGCGACTCTACCATAAGGCTACATACAACAGTTATATTACAACGTCAAACAGTTGAACTGTAATCATCTTTAGTACATGCTCATAATATATAATTCTTAACCAATGACTCTATTGAGATGTCCCCACAGGTGCTGTTTCTGACTGTGTCTCTGGTGGCTTAAGTTCATCTGGCAGTTTCTCAAGAGCAGTCTGAAAAACAGAAAAGCACATCAGCTGTAACTTATAGTCAAATTACTGAATAACACACTGACTAGGCTGTAAGAATCAAATAGCACATACATATGTATATTCTTAATGAATGGCGAGGTCATTCTAGACAATTTTGCATATAGCTACTGTCTCACCTTCTTAACTTCCATTGCCACACCCTCTGGTAGATTCCGTTGAACATATTCCAGAAACACATTGCTGGTGCTCCCTGTCAGGTGCTTAAACTGAAATATCGAATGAAGCAACAACAAAAAACAACTTTACTTGGCATTGGAAACAAACATAAAATCATGTGATCATCATCACCATATCTTGTCATGATCAGGTACTTAACATGTTAGGAGATCTACATTACAATAGTGATGACGAGACATACCAGTATTAATATGGACCAAATATAACTCCTAACAAAGAGTTTACATGAAGTAAACTGACACAACTTGGCAATCATACTTACATGGAAGACCCTGTAATGAGTCCTTATTTCATACTGCACTTTGTGTTTCTTGTGGACGTGAACTGACTTCAGCAGAGTAATTCTGTCGTAGGTTCTGCGGGGTCTGTGACTGCAGTAGGAAAGCAAAGAATACAAATTATGTAGCTCATTTCAAATTGTTAATATCAAGAAAGGGTATCTTTTGATCTGTAAGTAATCTTCAAAGACTGTATTAGTAATCTCATTAAATTTCTAATCCACACCATATTCCAAAGAAAATCACAGGATTTCACTGGAATAACTAAAAAATTACAACTTCCAGCAGAAAAACCTACATCTTTTCTAATCTTAGCCCAAGTTCTTTTGCAGCCATGCTGACAAACTGTTCGTAACTATCCAGCACTGCCTCTTCATGGCCTTTACACAGCAGAACTATCCTCTTGTACAGGACGTCTGGTTCATCTGTTGTCTCAACCTGTAAATAACAAAAGAGCAACCCATCCATTTAGTATATTATCTTTTTTTTATCTAATATTGCAATACCAGTCTCAGCTTAGCAGCTGTCACAAGGACGCTGTCCAATATTTCTGAGGTGGCGGTTAACACTGCTCTTAAATTTATGTCTGTCCTTAAGAGCTACAATGTCCTGTGGGAGGGAGTTCCAGAGATTTACAGTGGCCGGTCAAAAATAAGAATAAAGACAAAACATTGATACAATGACGTGTGCACAAACAGGATGGATAACAGTACAAAATGTATCTAGATGAGCTCTTACCAACTGAGATGTACTGGAACTGTAGCGCAGGGTTGGCTGGAAAGCTGTCGCTATGTAGGAGCAGAAAACAACAATTTTATTCTATTTGAAGATTTCTTTTAAAAAATGACACATTTCAATACCAAGCTAGAAGTCAACAGGTGTCACAGCAAATTAGCCAGGTGTATAAGTTGTACCTGTGGTTGGTGCTGCCTGCTTAGGAAAGTATCTGCAATATTCATGAAAAACAGAAACATGAATTATCTTCTCAGTATTACATTACAGTAAAAAAATTATACAAAGACTGTGACTTTTAAGTTAGCAGAGTTATCAACCAAGGATTGAGGTGTTCAAGAATTCATTATTTCCTAGAACTATCGCAGAGTGGAACTCACTGTAACCAAGTACAGTAGGAACTTTGTCATTAGATAGCTTTAATGACTAGAGTTAGAAGTTCAAGAGTTAGGTGTAACAAGTCGATCGGTGTAATGTAGCCAGCTGCCTCCTGCGAAGCTGGTGTGTTACGCTGAAAGGTGGTTATACTAGCTATACAGATACAGAAGGCAGCAGTCTTGCAATGTGTATGTTTCTCAGAAGTCCAGGTTCAAGCATTCATATAGAGTTAACATGCTCAACAAAAGGACGTTTTCAAAAAACCTGCTTTATTACAAAGACACATGTCAAGTGCTAGTTTATTGTTTATACCTGAGATGATTTTCAACAGTCTTGGTTGTTCCACATGCTAGTCTTTGTGCAATGCTTCTTCCTGCCAACAATGCAGATACCTGTGGCACAATGCATGAAAGATCAATAACAACTGTCTGATTCAACCCCATCAATTATGTCTTGCTTATGAGGAAATTGTATTTGGCAAAACCACAGCATATGGACAAACTTTACTTTCATATATTAATTATGACAAGTATAAACTGTTTTCTACTTGAGCACAAATAGGAACAAAGAAGTCACTTTACTTTTAAATTTGCACTAGGCATCTTTTCATATTCATAAAAAATTCCTTGACATACACACTAGACTTTTCAACTGTATACAACCTCGAGAGTTTATATCAGGCAACGACTGCATTTTGGGAAGGCAATTGTGTATTCTTGCCTTATACTGATCTACAATTTTCTATTCATACGCCTTCAAAAAACCTTAATGCTTAATTCTGAGCGTACATCTACCCACCAAACGTCATATTTAAGGCATAATCTTGACAAATCTTGACTTACTCGAAACGCCAAACTTCCAATGGGCGCCGCCATTTTGGTGTCAGAGGTCAGAATGTATCCCATTATGCTTTGCGATCACCATGGTTACAGGAACGACGGCGTAAACCAAGATGGTGGGTGTTTAGATTTTTCTCGTGACGACATGTGCATTTTCCTTGTTTGTACGTCTCGAAAGTGTGAGTTTGCTAGTCATTAACATGCTAATGTTTGCCTTATCCCCCACAGTCGAAAGGGACAACCATCAAAGAAGCCCTGGCGAAGTGGGTAAGTACACAAAAGTTTCAACAGATAGTAGTTCCAGTACATGTAAGTTACCATGTAATCTCCAAGCAGATGGTGGGGTGATATTACTTATCCAAGTGCTGAAGAAGCTGTGAAAGAAGACTTGTGCTTTGAGAAGAATTTTATGAAGCCCACTTGTGAAGTCATGGATGTGTTTAGCAGCAGGCAGACGATGTTTTTCTCTTGTTCTTGTCGTTAAATTATGGAAATTATCCAATAATTGACAGCCCGTCCATTTTTTCGCAGGAGGAGAAGAATGGGAGCAAGGCTGCGGAGTCACCAACAGTGAAGCTGTACATGCAGATTCCTCCCATCGAGAAAATGGATGCTTCCCTCTCCACTCTGGCTGCCTGCGAGTATGTTATATAATATAATAGTGTTCTTTCTACCTACCAGCTGTTTACATCGTAACGCATTGCGAATCATCGTAATCTCAGATTGTTGTTTTGTTTTTATCCTGAAGTTTTCAAGGGGTAGGCATAAGCTTCTAGAGTTAAAGGATCAACCACTTGTCAATGATACTTTTTGCTGCATGGGGATAACAGATTATAGCAAACAGTTTTACGTCTACTTGATTATAACATGAACCTGTTGATTTACAGGATGTTGTCACTCTCCACCAACTGCATTGAGAAAATTGCCAACTTGAATGGCCTGAGTGAGTATCTTATCTTAAAGTTACAAAGCAAAAGTAAAATTCACAGCCACACAGATGTCCACTTTTAATGACACTTAATGTGCCTTTCTTTTGAAAAGAAAATTTAAGATGACAAAACAGATTAACACAAAATAGTACAGTATTACTGTTCCTCCTGGATTTACATCCAGAGCAGCCTTGAAAAGTTTGCCATGTTAAGACATTTCTCCATTCTGTTTTGCAGAAAACCTGAAAATCTTGTCCTTGGGCAGAAATAACATCAAGAACCTCAATGGTCTGGTAAGACAGTAATTTCCATGCCAATCTAATGTATCATCAGGAAGTACTTTCCTGTAATTTTTCCAATAGCACCTCCATCCATTTCTTGGCATTATTATCATACGTAGTATGAACAGAGTCTAATCTTGGCTGTACCCTTGAACTTTGTTTTGATTACACCTGGTGTAAGGCTTGAACTTTTTTTATGAAGGGAAGAACAATACTTGACTGTACAATGTAGAATATACATGTATAATGTCCCCTGGCTGACAATGGTCTAATTTCTGATCCACCATACAGGAGTCAGTTGGGGACACTTTGTGTGAGCTGTGGATCTCTTACAATAACATTGAGAAGCTGAAAGGCATCCATGTGCTCAAGAAACTGACGGTAACTGACTTGTCTCATACTAGTATATGTTCATTCAGTTTTAAGTTATCCTGGTCACAGTTACATGAAATGAACCTTAATCTAAATTAAAACTGAAAATTGAGCTATGGCACTATGCAAGTTAAGAGTAGAGGTCAAAGAGGGCCAGCAAGGGGAGGTCCCGACAACGCTCTACGCTGAATTCGGAAACCTCTCGATTACGCTTTACGATAAATTCCAAGTGGCTACAACGCATTACGTAGAATTAAAACTGCGAATACGCTCTACGCAAAATGCGAAGAGCGGTCCGTCTACGCTCTACGTAAAATTAAAACGGCCGATTACGCTCTACGGAAAAGGCCTTGCGGGCCCCCATTAAACACAGGCCACTTGTTTGAGTTATTTGAGTTGGTCAAAGTGATTGAAATAATTCACTATTCTACCAAATTATGTTCCAGGTGTTACACATGTCCAACAACAAAGTCAGTGACTGGGCAGAGTTTGGAAGACTGGTAAGCCAAAACTGTCTGTACATGTTTCATGTGTCTTTTGCTTACTTTTTGTCGAGTCTCAGAAAAAAAGTTGTCCACAGTTTAAAGCATTGATTATCTTATTTCTTTACAGGGTGAATTGCCTTGCTTGGTTGACCTGCTGTTTGTTGGTAAGTTGTGTGATTTTAGGGTTTGTGCAGAGCAGGAGGGGGAAGAAAAGAGGGAACAGGGTAGTAGTAGATAGGAAAATAGACTTAGGCACCTTACAAGGTCCTTAACCAACAATGTGGAAACACTTGTCGTTGAAATAAGTATACAATCACACAAAAATCAAAGGACCTCACACAAAAATCAAATTTACAAAATTAACTACAGTGGCATGTGTAGAATAGGCACTGTCTTCATCTATTAAAAAGGAATATTTTGTCTCCAACCATTGATTATCTATTGTAACCATTTAGTAACCCTGCCTAATAAAACATTATCACATGTAAATGTAGGGATGGCTCATTGAACATAATTGCCTGTATGATATACCAAGTCATCATTTGCTCCAGAAAATTTGGTTAATATATATGACTGCCTGTAGGGAACCCCCTGGAAGAGAAGCACCAGGCAGAGGGAGACTGGATTGAACAGGCTACAGGCAAGCTGCCCAGATTGAAGAAACTGGATGGTGAGTTTGATACAGTTTGTTCTTAAGTCTTTCCGTGTTGCTAACACCTGCATGTTGATTCTGACAATACAACTGTACATACTAGATGACATTTTATGCTCATTACTTTATGTTCCAGTAATGGATGTAATGCAGACTGCTATTATAAAAGCCTGTTTATTTTACAGGTGCACCTGTTATCAAGCAGGAAGAGGGAGATGACTGAGATTCTGAGCTTGTACAGCATGTTTGTTTCACATTTCTGTAAACATTCCATGGAATTTGATGACTCTGCTCATTCATTTGGTTTGAGGATGTTTGGAATGTTTGGAATATAGATAAGTCTGACGTCATGTATACCTGATTAAGTCCATTTGGCAGTTTACCAATCACTAGTGTACACATAATTCTCTATAAATGAGTTTTTCTTGAGTTCTACGTGTTATTGGAAGTTGTTTAGTGACCCACTTGAACATAGAAATCTGTTCAAATTTTGTAAATATAGGTCCAAAGGAAAGAGGGAACATTAAAAGTAAAACATTGTTAGAGAGTAGGTGATACTTTTCAGTGATAGCTTTTGCCCTTCTGCACTTCTCACGAGATTGCATAGGTCTCTGGGTTAGACATGAATATACTACATGAATATATGTATAACAGAACTTATACTCCCATTGCTTACTTCATCAAATAAACACATTTTCTTACTTGTATTGCTCTTTCATTCCTTACGAAGTCCTGGAAAGTTAAGTACTTGGACAGTAATTCTAAACAGGTGACTTCATAGGCTTAGATGAATTTTGTGAGAGTCTCAACTTTTCCACTCTTTAACCAAGACCCAGCAGTACATGGTTCATAAGAAAAAGTCTGGTATTTTTTAATCATAGTGTATTTATTGTTCTGTTGACATGGTATTGGTGGTATTACAATTATCATATAAAATCATATTTGCTGGATAAAAAGGGGTACAGGCAACAGAATTCACAGGCAACTGTAGCTAAAACTAAGGCATGATCAGAACTCCACACAAAACTACAGCATGACTTGAAACTCAAAAGTCCACAAACCTTCATGTGCCATGCATTCACATACAGATGTCATTGAGATATTCCCGCTTATGCAAACAAATCACATTTTGCAAAGCAATATCATCATACAAGGCATGTATTTACAACAAATAGTGCATACTTTTGATACAACAAATTACATATTAAAAGAATTACATATGAACATGAAAAAAAAAGCTTTCGCTGATCAACTACATGTATGTATCTGACGTTCCAAAAGTACTGTGTCGACAAACCTACATGACATTGTGTAACTGTAGCTTAGTTGGCTGTCGGCTATCCTAGTTTTCACATAAGGAATATATAGGTTCTTCCCATGTCTTAAACTTACTAAATGGTGTGGTACATACATGGTGTAACTCTCAAGTTCAGAGGCTTTGACTATCATGGTAATAAAATCGCACCAATAAACCTTAAAAGATTCATGGAACAGGTAGTATGATTCCCCCACCTGTCCACCATAGCATCTTCTCTTACTCTCACATAAACTTGTAACTTTGTGAAACATACCATTACATTGCAAAAGTAGTAACTTCTGTGTCTATTGTATTGGTGGTTAACAGCTTCTATTGTATAAAAATGTCAACAATAGGTATTTTTGTAGAGTTTTAGACTATAAATTTTAATAATGTAATCTTGTGTTACCGATAAAACTATCTAGATCGACATACACCCAACAAAAATATATGCATGACTCTATTTACAAGGTAAAATATTCACAAAATTTCAACATTTAGTAATGACATATATATAGATATATATAATTTTTTACTTAGTCATTTTATTGCTTTGGCTGCAGCATTACATACAGCCAAGGCTGCTGAACTAGTTATTAAAGGCATGTGGAGAACAAGCTTATTATATAGCCCTTGTACCAAAAACATGCTAGATATAAACTAGTCAGTACCCATGCCCTCACCAGTGTAGATTGAAGGCCTCCTGTTGATATTGCACTTCATCAGAGAGGTCAAGACCATGACTGCTACCTGGTGACTGTTACACCACACCTAACTTGATGATCACACAACAGACAACAGTTGTCACATCAACATTTGTTCTCTGCCATGGTGGAAGAGTGTACATACTGTCCAATCACCAAACAACTCATGATCATCACGTACATAGTCAGACATCATGAGTAGAGCTGTGTACCTAAACAAATTTTAGGTACAGGTACAGGTACAGGTACACAGGTTTAGGTACAGGTCCGGACCTGAACCTGTACCTGAACAATTCGACCAATTTATATGGTCTTCTGAACTCCTTCAATAACAAAAAAACATAAATAAACTTGATAGTTAAGGTTTATTCTTTGTTTATGGCGAATGCTCAGATAAAATATAGGCAAAACTAAGTGTTTTGTTTTCATGAACACGCTGTCCTTACACAGGGACCCATTGTTAACCACCTTTATACACATTTGAGGTCACAAATAGGCATAAAATTGGTGTGAAATTGTTTAGGTACAGTACCGGTACTGAGGGAGTAGGTATTTTGGACCTGTACCTAATCAATTTTTCCGGTACAGTATCGGTACTGCGTACCGGTACACAGCTCTAATCATGAGTCATGAGAATTGTTGGTGTGTAGTGCAAAAAAGTTGACATATCTTTGTTGACAGTGAATTGTACATGTTTGTGAATGTCAACAAATTCTACAGTTGTTGGAAATGCCGACAACCTCACTTTAACCCAATGATTACCTTTCTTAAGGTGTTAGACCTCACCAGCTTACACTCTGTCTTGTAGATTGTCGGTTGGTTGTTGTAGCCTGGTGTGATCTGAAACCTTCCATCTCATACTTGTCAATGTATAAGACACAAAAACAAGTCATTTGTTCCAAAGAAAAAGATTAATTCCCTACATCCATGGTATCCCCAGGTTGCTAGGATGTTAAATCCTTTGTGCACACAATGTTCTGGATATATTCACAAGCATGGAAACTGACAAGACCAATCTAAACATGTTCTGACCAAATCTTCGTTGATGATATAAAAATTCTTAAATACCTCAGCTTCCTGTCAATGGGAAGCTTTCGGTTCAAATCAATTTTTTTTGCAATCCATTTTTTATGTACAGAAATGCTATGCAAAATTAATCAGCCAAGTGCATATTTTTAAGCTTGCATACAAACTGTTCAAACAAGGCCTTCCCTCTTTCTGCAGCATCCTCACTGCTGATGTCTAGTTATCTAACGATAAACAGGTTTCACCTAGTGGGTAAAAAAGGAATTACAACATTACAGTGAACAAATACAGGTTTTGCTGCAGCATTAAATATCAAAGCAAAATCAGTCTACAGCTATTTTGTGACTTGTTTAAAAAGACATAAATAGTGTAAATAGTGTAATAGCTTAGTTCATTTAAACATACATGTATATTGGAATGATAGTGATCAATCATGACATTACAATATACGTTATTACATACCACTATAAAATAAAACTTCTGGTTAAAAACACTACACCTGTAAAATTCCCCATGTACAGGAGGATGGGGACTGTTCGCGTCTTTTGTACACACTGATACACGTACATGTATGTCCATGGTAAAATGTAGTAAAGGCAATTATCGTTTATTCAAATGCATCTTGTAGGTCCTCTTCAGATGTGTTCATGTGGTTGGACATGGGGAGAACTGACACTTTGCTAGCTTCAGACACGAGTATCTTCTCAGTCTTCTCCTCCTCCCTGTCAACCTTGCGGTGAGTCTTCATGTGAGCAGATCTGCTCTTCACTTTGTGAAACACCCTGACAAATGGTGGCATAAATTGTATGATAAGCAACAATGAATTCCATCTGATCTATCTGGAAAAAAAACACAAGCAGAAGGAACAGGACAAGGATAAACATTTTGTTGCTAAGTTAAAGAATGGAATACTTGAAACAAACAGGGAGAACACTGCTAAAATGTAAATACTACCAATTAGTTGTTGACCTGGTACTTACTTGCCACAGATTCTGCAGGGGAAGTCCCCCTCCCCCTCCACGGTCGTGGCTCCAGTCATACTGGACTCACCACTTTCATGGGAGGTAGCAGA